CCAGGGGTCCGTTTTAGGACCCCTGTTATGAAACTTGGGGTACGACTCAGTGTTGCGCGGGCTCCTCCCACCTGGTGTCTTTGTGGCCTGCTACGCAGACGACACATTGATCATCGCGGTGGGTCGGGATGGGACCAGAGTTCACAGACTGGCGCAACTCGCGGCCGCGATCGTGGTCGCGAGGATCCAGGCTCTGGGGCTTCGGATCTCGCCGCAAAAGACGGAGGTAGTAATGTTTCATGGGCTACTTCTGACGCGGCGGGTCCCCCAGACCTGGATCCGCGTGGGTAATGCGGCTGTCCGGGTCGAGGGCCGGATGAAGTACCTGGGCCTCGACCTGGACGGCCGGTGGCGCTGGGAGGGGCATTTCGACCGCCTGGTCCCCCGAATTAAGGCGGTGACGACCCTGTTGGGTCGTCTCCTGCCCAATCTCGGGGGGTCGGAAGAGAGGGTCCGCCGCCTTTACCTGGGGGTTGTGCGATTCATGGCCCTATACGGGTCACCCGTTTGGGCGCGCGACCTGGTGGCCTGCCGTCGTAGACGGCACCTGCTGCGCCGCGTGCAGCGGCATATGGCCATCAGGATCGCGCGCGGGTATCGCACGATCTCCCACGAGGCGGCGGCCGTCCTAGCGGGGGTCGTCCCCTTTGATTTCCAGGCGGAGGCAACGACGTATATCGGCGTGTGCAAGATCTCCGCCGGAACGGGGGCGATCCGCAGGACGAGGCGGTCGAAGCCTACCGGCGCCCGCGAAAAGTGGCAGCGCCAGCTTCTGGAGAGCGGCGCCGCCCAAAAGAGAACGGTAGCGGCGGTCCTGCCAAGCTTCGATGCTTTGCTGGACCGCCGACACGGGAGACTCACCTACCGGCTCACGCAGGTGCTCACCGGACATGGTTGTTTCGGTGAGTACCTGCACAAGGTGGGGGCGGAGGGGTCGCCCACGTGCCACCAGTGCGTCGCGGAGCTGGACTGCGCGCAGCACTTGCTGGAGGAGTGCCCGGCCTTCTCGCGAGGGAGCCTAGCTGCCGCCCCTGCCGCAGGGGGACTGGTCCCCCCTCCCGCCGTAAACCGTCACTTCCTCCTGGCAGTCTGCCGCGTAGGGCGGCCCTGCACACGTAGCCGGCGAGCTCAAGCTTTGGGCTCGCCAACTGCCAGCAGGGCCGCCGGGCATGGGGGGGGGGGGGAGGTCGTCACCCGACGCCCCCCCCTGCTCCTTTGGAACATGCGGGGGGCCGTTGGCCCCATAGCGGCATATTTCCCTGGGGGTCGGGGAACAGAATACGCCCATAGTAATCCCTGCGTGTCGTAAGAGGCGACTAAAAGGGACAGGCGAGACCGCGGGACAGCCTGTAGCACGGGCTGTGGCACCCGCGGTCAGGTGGGGAGGTATTCACTCCCCACCGGAGATGGCACTCCTCCCTTCGTTGGGGGGGAGAGGCGCGGGGGGGGGGGGCACCGGTAGCGTTCGTAAAAGATTCCGGTGCCCCTCCCCAATGCGCCGTGGCCGGTCACCGTGAGGTTTTAGTGGGTATTCCTTTTGATATCAAGTCAAGGGGCGAGTCCCACACTACCCCCTCCTTATGAGGGGGCGTGCGTAAACGCATTTCCTCACGTAAAAAAAAAAAAAAAAAGGAGGGGCGGTATCTCCCAGTAAAGGGTAACCGTTGGGAAAGTTAGGTAAAGAATAAGAAAGAAAAGATTTGTATCTCCCAATTAAGGGTAACCGTAGGATCGGTATCTCCCAGTAAAGGGTAACCGTTGGGAAGGTTAGGTAAGGATTGAATCGTATTGTTGGAATATAATACGCGTCGTGGATAAAACCTCGCAACTATTAATTCTAAACAAATAATAACTCGAGCGGTATAGTTATTATGTTGTGAGGTCGTTACACTGGTTAGGATTGCTTATTCCAATGGTGAAGGTTTAATAATGATTTAACAGACCTTTTAAGGTTAACAAATGATTATATATTCAAAACTGAATAATTCTAATAATACAATTGTACAGTGTCGTGTTGTCGCGGTTAGTGTATGAATTTAATTACCTAATTGTTGGACGGTGTTAACGCACTGGCGATGCGGGGGTCGAGAATGCTTCTATGCCGTAATAGATTTTGTACCGTCCTCGCGGATCTATATGGTTAATGTCGATCGAAAGGGATCTGAAGCCCGATCTCACTAAAGCGCAATTCTGAAGACGATCGACGTGACTTTACCAAGTAACTCTTTCGTACTAGTCCCCCGAGTAACGAAAGTCATGGATTTATATACCCCTAGATATTGGTGGAGATACGTCAGTGATTCCCATATATGGAAATTTGGCGGTTGAGATTTTCGTTACTCAGAGATGAACATCCGTGGGGCTTTAGGGAAAGTTTAGATAAAGGGTTACCCACGCAACGCGAATTAAAAGATGATTATGAGAAAAGTATGGTACAGCTGCAGGGTGCACTTCGGTAAGACCAGACTCCACATTCCAAAGGGTAGATAAAATAAATGAACGCGAGCTTCGAAAAGAACGGGTGTGCATACGTAACAGTACATTATTTAAGATGAGGGAGTACAAATTTATATTTATTCTTTCGAGTATAGTATGTACTGGGGTATAAAGTTGGGTACTTTATGCTGTCCATGCGTTGGTAAACACTCAATTTACAAATAAACAGAGAGTTTATCTTTTCTTCTTCCCGCGATGCAACATACAATATCTCCAACTGATTTGGTAATAAGATCGTAGAACAGATCGCTAGGTCTGTACACACAACCAGTTACGGAAGAAGAATTTTTTATAATTGAGTCTCCGTTTTTTTTGCGGATTATACAATACAGTAACATACTATCATCGTTGTAAACGCATTCAACGAGATGTCGTACTATCCTTTGATCTTTGTGTTCTAATTTCTCAACACCGTGTAGAAACAGCTTTGAAAATGCAATTTTTTGCAGGGATGGTACTTTGAATTCACGCGACATGATTCTTCAAACTAATGAGTCGCTTCATCGAGATGTATCCTATTATACCACTCTCCTTCTCTATGAGAGAGAGATGAAACGTTTAGTTTTTGATACACCTACAACTGAATATTATTTCTTTCTTGATAAGCGCGAATCACTGGCGGCAGATGCTGGTAACATAGAACGTTTAGCTTGCAGTTTTTTACTTTTTCCCTGAGACACCATATCGGTGTCTCAAATATTCCACCGCGAAAAAGCGCATTCCTTCACGTATGCCCTTGAAATAAAGTATCCTGTATCCATGGTTCGATCGCGAGTCGGTATGGATTTTTGATGATCTAATCTTCCGCGAATAATACATTTGCAAAGAATGTATTATGTGATTTTCATCGCGTATGACATTAAGATGGTGAAACAGAACGTTTAGCTTGTAGTTTTTAAATTTGTCCTCGACTCGCGAAACTTCGCGAATCTTTGCACGTGTCTTTGAAATAGATCCATTAGCGCACTTTAAAGGGGTGTGGGCAGCCGATTACGAATGGCGCTTCGAAAAGGTGTTCAATCAAAAGTGGGCGAAGGTAGGGCCTCATTAACTAATTAAAAAACACGAAGAGGGGTAGCCAACTAAAAACCACGAAGAGGTGGGAGGCAGCCAATTAAAAAAGAAAATGGTGCCTTGAAGAGGGTGGTCAATCAAAAGTGACGTCACACTCCCCGACCCACGAGGCCCCGCCCTTCGCTTCCCCCATCCACAAGGCCCCCCACAAGTCCCCGCCCCTCACTTCACTTGTCCCCGCGCCCCCCTGAGATCCCGCTATATATATATACAATAACGCTAAATTGATAGCTGAAAATACGCGTACATTAATGCGACCCAATCCATATTACGCTCCAGAATTCACAAAACATTGTATGCGATTGTGTCGCTATTATGTTTTGTGGACAAACGTAATGTCTAAATACAGTAAGACAAATTATGCTATAACCATTCAGCAAGATCTGATTCATATTTCAATGAAATAAAAAACATTATATTGTGTGACGATAGTAAACCCCTTAGGATTGATAAATTTATCGTAAAGCATATTCGTTCAATTATAGCTACGTGTAAAATTGAATGTGCTGCTTATAATGCGATTTTAAATACACATGAAACTTCATCAGAAATATCCAAAGACATCGAAAGTTTAGATTGTTTTTCTTTTACGACAAATGTAGTAGAATTATCAGAAAATATAAATGATGTTTCAGAACTTTCAAAGCAATATTTACAAGAAGAAGAAAATTGGCGCGGACAGAATAAAAGAAAGCCTAGTGAGCATGATAAAATGATTCCGCCTAAAAGAGTAAAATATTTACAGGCTTGTTCAAATGTAACTTTAATGCATAATCGTCTTTTACGTAAACGGAAGGATATGATAATACAAAATGACAATTTACTTGCTCCTGTAAAAATAGAAAAAGTGAAAGTTCAAGTTATGAATACCTGCCCATTTGATTCACTTATGGAACTAATAGTTATTGGATACTTGGATTATATTGCATATCAAACATGTGTGATAGCAGAATTTTCCGATTCTGAATTTTTCCATTTAGTTACTGACTACGCACTAAATAATACTACAAGCAAATGGTACATTAAAAGAGCACTTTGCTTGTCTAAAGCTCTTGATAAACCACTGACAAATACATTGGATTGTTCATATAATATATCCAATTTAATTTTAAAGTTATTACATGATGTACCAAGTACAATTAATGAGTTCAACTGTAAGAAATGTAAAATTAGTTCTGTAGCATACGAAATTCAAGAAATACGAAAAGCGAGCGTACGAAACTTCTAGAACATAGGAGGGAGGCCACCGCGCGGGGCAAACACGAGGCACGGACCGCGAACTCGCGAACCTTCTCGCCTAACGATGCGACTGTTGACAACCGCGTCTGCGGATAGCAACCATGCGATATAAATTGAGGGCTCGTAGAGGCATTCGGCCTATTTGCCATTCCGGGAGAGAGGACGAGAAGTCTTTTCTTGAATCCTTAACCATGGCTACAAATCTGGTGCCCAACGAGTTGGCCTCGAACCACGACATCTCCGGGACCCTCCAACTGTCCACTTCCCAGTTCTCCCAGATCCTGGAATCCATCCAACGGACCCAGCCGGTAAAAGAAGGAAGTTTTGCGAAATGCACAGCGCGTTTCGACGGAAACAGCAATCACGCAAAAGTTGTCGAAATCATTGCGACAATATCCATTTTCAAGGATATTGAATTCATTTCGGACGAGAATGCCCTTCGAGGACTGCCGTTACTTTTGGAAGGATATGCAACAACATGGTGGCGAGGCGTTCAACCTACCGTAAGGACATGGGAGGACGCAATTGATGCAATTCGCGCCACCTTCGCACCTCGACGACCAGCATATCAGATTTATATGGAAATATTCCGGCATTCTCAAGATGCGAAGACCGCAACCGACCTGTTCATCAGTAAGAAGAGCCATCATCGCAGAACTCCCTGACCTTCCAGCGGAGAACATCCAGATAGACATGCTGTACGGCCTTCTGCGATTCCATCTACGGGAACAAATCCCACGGGAATCGGTTACCTCATTCACGAACCTCGTGGGACGATCAAGAGAAATCGAAGCCCTGGAGATGGAGGCCCTGTATCATGTCCAGGAGCATCGACCCATAAAGAAGAGACAAATGGAGCAACAATGGAAGGAGCGATCGTATTGCGGGATTTGCCGCAAATTTGGACATACGACGTTGGAATGCAGGCATCGGACATTTTCCGCACCAATCCCACGGACTCCAGTACCCATCCACGACCTAAAATGTTATGGCTGTGGAAAGATCGGTTTTGTAAGAAATAAATGTCCAAATTGTAAAAACACACCACCGACCGCCCAAGCTGCATTTTGTTCCATCGGTATCATGGCGGTACCAAGACCTCGGCCGACCGTCACGGTGCAGGTCGCGGGAGAAAAAGGACACGCTTACCTCGACACGGGAGCAAAATGCTGCATCGCCAGCCGAAGCTTGTTCACCGTGTTGAGGAAGAAGAGACTGACATTTTCCAACGAACGACTCCAAATAGCCCTGGTAGATGGAAATCCACGGGTACAAAACGTTCTAATTACGAAGATCGACATAATCCTTGAGGAGCGAGTGGTGCCCACGCAGTTCATCGTCTTACCCAATAGCAAGGACGATCGAATGCTATTGGGTATAGACTTCCTGGAGGACGCGGGAATCGTTATTAACACCCCACAACGAAGCTGGCACTTCATCGACAAACCCGACAAGAAGTACGATTTGCAGGGCGAAGTCGAGAAAGAGAACACCACTCCGGACATCACGATTGCACACCTAAAAACCACGGCTGCCTCAACTCCAGATGGACTGGAAGGTTATCTGGAGGAGATAGCAGAAGAATTTCCAGAACCACCACCTCTGCTCAGCCCTATCGGGAGTCCACGAAAAAGGAAACATGAACGGGAATGAGCCAACATCGATGTCCTTTTTGAGAAATGCCTACGAACGGCACGCATGAACATCGCAGCTGTCGACGTAGAGGCAATAAGGGAGGACGAGGCGCTGAACATCACGACTCAAGACAGAGGGAAGTTCCAGAGGTTGCTGAGAACGAACAGCGATCTTTTCGATGATGAAGGACCACCAACAGCAAAGGTGATTCACAGAATAAATACTGGAGACCACGCCCCGATTGCCGTACCACCTTACCGTTTACCATCTGCGAAGAGGGAGATGCCGCAGAAGGAACTGAAGAAGATGTTGGAATACGACATCATTCAGGAATGCGAATCACCCTGGGCTGCTCCAGTCGTCTTGGTACCAAAGAAGAACGGAGACATCCGTGTGTGCGTTGATTACCGACGCCTAAACACTATTACGGTGAACGACTCCTATCCACTACCAAGAATCGATGATTTGCTTCATGCAGCGAAGAAAACCAACTACATGTCTGCCCTGGATTTACAGTCGGGATATTGGCAAATAGATGTACGGCCTGAAGATCGGGACAAAACAGCATTTACCACTTCTTTTGGTATCTACAGGTTCAAACGCATGCCATTTGGATTGAAAACTGCACCAGCCACCTTCCAGCGATTATGGACCGACTGAAGGCAAACCTGGGTTCGCGGAACGTTTTGGTGTATCTGGACGACTGCTGGTTCTGTCAGCAACTTTTGAAGAACATCTGGACGACCTGGAGGCCGTGTTTATCCAGCTTCGCAAAATCGGACAGCGAATAAACCGAGAGAAATGCCGTTTTTGCTGCCAAAATATAAAATACCTCGGACATGTCCTCACCTCTCAAGGAATACAACCAGACCCCGAGGCCATACGAGAGATGAGACCACCTGCAAACCTAAAACAACTGATATCTTTTTTACAGACTTGTTTCTGGTACCGTCGATTTGTACCAAATTTCGCTAGTGTAGCGGAATCACTCACTCGTCTAACATGGAAGAAAGCCAACTGGGTATGGTCGGAGCAGCAACAACAAGCGTTCAACAACATAAAAGTGACCCTCATCGACGCACCCATCCTGCAGACTGCCAACGAGACCAAGCCATATATACTTCGCACCGACGCCAACAACTACGCCATCGGAGCAGTTCTACTCCAGGGGGAGAAGCAGGGCGAGCATCCGGTGGAATATGCTAGCAGATTACTATCTCCAGCCGAAAGGAGCTATTCCACTACAGAAAGAGAGGCTCTCGCCGTGGTTTGGGCAGTAGACAAGTTTCGTGGTTACATCGAGGGTGCTGACGTCACCATTGCATCGGACCATCAACCTCTGAGATGGTTAATGACGTTGAAATCACCAAGCGGACGACTGGCGCGATGGGCACTACTTCTATAACCATATTGCCCGAAAATCCAGTACATTCCGGGTCGCTGCAACGTGGTTGCAGACATGCTTTCAGGACTCCCAACAGAACCATGGGATAAAGAAGAAAGGGCAGATATTTGCCCCATCGTGGTAGACTTGCCTAATCGTGGACCCATCGTCACAAGAGAAGAACAACTTAAAGACGACGATCCGAAAACCATCATTGAGGTCTTGGAATCCACCACCGATGATGACGAATTGAATTGATGGACAACACGGGGATATCTGCTGGATCAAGGGGTACTATATCGGTACGCTCCCAATGCAGATTCCGAAGAAGCTTAACATGAGAGAAGAGATATTTTAAAATCGTACCACGGTGATCCTACAGCGAGGCATTACGGAATCCAACACACGCTACATCGAATCATTCAACGGTACTTCTGGCCTGGGATGACCAGAGAAATTTCGGAGTACGTACGTTCCTGTATTGAATGCCAACGTTACAAAGTCAGTAATCTGAAACCAGCAGGATTGCTTCAAACACCTGTGATGCAACGAAGATTTGAGGTGATAGCTGTGGACCTCTTTGAACCACTACCTGCTACAAAGAGGGATAACCATTGGATACTGATAATCGAGGACACCGCTTCTAAACGGGTGAAAATATTTCCACTTCAACAGGCAACAGCAGAAGCCTGTGCACAAGTCCTAATCAATGAAATTTTGTTACGATTTGGTGTACCCCACAGAATCATCAGCGACAACGGGACTCAATTCGTGAGTGGAGTGATGCAGCAGGTCGCCCACTGCCTGGGAATTCAGCAAACGTTCACCCCTGTCTATCATCCAGAGGCGAATCCCGTGGAAAGGAAGAACCGAGACCTCAAGGTTCAGCTTGAGATCTACGTCAGAGGTGACCACGCTGCATGGGACGAGCAACTTCCCGCTATTCGCTTTGCCATGAATTCGGCAAAATGCGAATCCATTGGGTATTCGGCCGCATACCTCACATTTGGACGAGAATTACGCACTCCGGACGACACCAATCGTGACCTTAGAACGATTGTCGAGGAGGAAAACTTCCTACCGGAGGTCACCCCAAAACTGCTCGCATTAGCTGATACCTTGCGAGTAGCTCATCAGACACAGGAGGAACGACAGATCCGACGGAAGCAGTATGCAGATCAACGACGACGCGAGGGACCAGTGTACCAACCAGGTGATCTCGTTTGGGTTAACACCCACACAATCAGCAGACGGGAGCAGCGGTACCCATCGAAACTTGCACCGAGGAGGGATGGACCGTACGTCGTAAAGCAGCGCAAAGGTGCCCGCAGTTATAAGCTGCAAACCGGCCAGAGACGCCGAACCTGTGGTCACCGGGCTGTATCACACTTCAGCACTGAGCCCTTATACTACAGAATGGCCGCCTGTGCCGGTGGTACCGATCCGCAGACGAGGACGACCCCGAAAGAGGAAGGCGGAAGAAGAAGAAGCCGGACCTAGTTCCAGGGACGACTTCAACCAATAGAGCTCTGGACCACTCGTCGGGACGACTTCCTGTCCAGAGGGGGAGACTGTAGCATACGAAATTCAAGAAATACGAAAAGCGAGCGTACGAAACTTCTAGAACATAGGAGGGAGGCCACCGCGCGGGGCAAACACGAGGCACGGACCGCGAACTCGCGAACCTTCTCGCCTAACGATGCGACTGTTGACAACCGCGTCTGCGGATAGCAACCATGCGATATAAATTGAGGGCTCGTAGAGGCATTCGGCCTATTTGCCATTCCGGGAGAGAGGACGAGAAGTCTTTTCCTTGAATCCTTAACCATGACTACAGTTCCAAAATTATTAAACCAGTGCTCCAAATAGAATCACAGCCGATATTAACTGAAAGATTAAAAATTGGTTTAGACCAGAGTCTTAATAAATATTTTTCAATAAAAAAGAAGAAAATTTATTGTCATTCCTGCAAGAGTTCTGAATACGAATCTAGAAAACCGGGTCCACATCTACTAATTGATACAGAATATCCTTTCGTCAGTATACCTCAAATAGATCTCGAATTTTCATCTGAAATACCTCTATCTGAAATACTATACTCAATTATGATAAAAAAATGTTAAATATGATTTAATAGGTATCGTACATTTTATTCCACCGCAAATAAAAAATGGCATTGGTCATTACACTGCTTTTTGCAAAACAGTAACTGGATCATGGAAGGAACATAATGATCTGAAATTTAAAGTAGATATAATTCCAAATGAATCCCTATCAAACAAGCTAGTTCGGCCATTATAGGGTATGTCAAAGTATCAAATTAAAGTGAGAGATACTTAATAACCTCACACAAAATATATAAGTCAAATAAATGAAAAATGTAAAAAAGGATGTATGTTGTATTACAAAATTAATAAAAATTTTTAAAATAAGTACAAAAAAAATACACAGATATATACATATATACACGCGCATACAAGAACAAGAGGTGTAAATCCGACCGAGCAACATCTATGTTCTACACATTAGGTAAGGCAAATGCGGCTATGTGAACCTGGCACCCGATTTTCAAAAAGTTAACTTTATTATTTATTTCCTGTGATTCAGAATCGAGATATTTTGTTTGAAATACATATATATTAGATG